GACCCTGGGAAAGGTAAGCCAGCAGCATCATGCTCCTCCTGCCTTGCCTTCCCCACCACGACGGACCGTCCCCTCAAACCAGGAGTCCAAGTCAGCCTTACCTCCTTCTTGTGGAGGTACCTGGTCACAGCAGTGGCCTCTCTGCTGTCACTAATAAACTAAAAGTGTGAGAGCAATTTAAAGGCTCTTCCCATCCATTTCTGTAGAGATTTCCAAGCTGGATGCGTTGGCACATATCTGTAAAACCAGCATTTTAGAAGCTGAGACAAGACGACCACTAATTTGAGAATAGCCTAGGCTACCTAGTAGGACGTGTCTCAAAAAAAAAAAATAAATAAATAAACAAAGATAAAACAAAAGATGGAAGGAATGAGAGGGGGAAGGGAAGATAATAAGAGAGTGAGAAGAAAATAGGGGCACTCCATAATCTGCACAAGAGCACAGAGAGCCCCACTCTTCCATAACTATGTCAGATAGCCACAGCTAGCTGCAAGGGAAGCTGGGAACACAGTTTTTGAGGTTAGTTCAATTAATGCCACAGACAAGCTTGAAGAGAGGATGGGTATATTTGGCAGCTGGCAGTGCCTGCCACTCCACTGTGAATTTAAAACGGTAATTGCTGCTTTCAAAATATGTATCCATGGAGCTGTGTTGATTGCTGTACACATGTTAATTGATGGGAAACATTATCCTGTCAATAATTCGGTTGAGCGAGCTTAGATGAGATAGACAGAAGTTAACGAGTTAACCGGGAAGAGAGCGAGAGTCCTGCAGGGAGAAATGTCCGGCTGCCTCTGTAGGTGCCCTTTTTGCAAGAATGAAGGGGATTGTTTGGGACAGAATGAGGGCCATGAAGGGTAGCGCTGATGTACTTTCATAAAGCTTCTGCCTCAGGGTTATAAATGCTGTGTGCACTGGGAATCCAGGCACAGACCAGTGTCTTTTTGGTCCTTTCCTTCAGCATCCTTTTAAAAATAGATAGATCATCCTTTTAAAAATCATTTTCCTTTTTTTTGCCAGAAGCCCTTTCAATTAAGCAAAGGTTTCACTGGAATAATTAAACCCTGTGTATTAAGCTGCTCACTGCAGTCACCCACAAAAATCGATTAAGAGAGATGCATTTTATCTCACTGACTGCTGACCCACATCCGATTCCAGTGCTCTTGTGCTGGGGTGGCTCTTAGGGAGAAGAAACTGGGGGTTGGCCCACACAAAACAGCATCTTGTGGCTGGAGAGATGGCTCGGCAGTTAATAGCATGTGCTGCTTGCTCCCACAGGGGACCCTGGTTCCGTTCGCAGCACCCACATCAGCCCATCACTACCTGTAATTCCAGCCCTGTTGGTTGATAATGCCTTACAGTGAAGACATCAAAGCTCCATTTACAAACACCCCACTCCCGACCCTTAGCCTCCCCACCCCACCCCACCTCCGCTGCCACATCTCATCATGTCATGGATGTTAGTGTTTGTTAGTGCCTGTGGTGATCGGATGAGTACTGTGCCTGGTAAGCCCAGCTGCAGGCTGTGATTGTCAGGACCTCCTGTTTTTTACTGAAGTTGTCAATGCCTCTTTTTCCCCATCTATTTGTCCTCAGTATTGACAATCACACAACCTATCACCTCACACAACCTAGAATCACCTTTTAAAAGGGAGTATCTGCTGGGTAATTGTCCTTATGAGGTTGCTCTGTGTGACTCTCTGTGTGGGACTGTCTTGATTTTCCCTTAAGTGATGTAGGAGGACTTGGTCCACTGTGGGCGGCACCATTCCCTGGCTGCACCTGACATATCATCAGGAGCAAGCCAGCAAGCAGCATCCCTCCAAGCATTCTGCTTCAAGTTCCTACTTTACCTCCTGCCCTGACTCTCCTCCATGATGGACTGTAATCTGAAAGTGTAAGCCAAATAAACCCTTTCCTCCCCAAGTTGCATTTTCCGTCAAGGTGTTTGTCACGCCGGCAACAGAGAGGGAATCATAACATTCATCTTATTTTCATTTGTGACAAATAGTTTGGGTGCATATAGAAATAAAAATGTAAAGATGTTTTCCTGTTTCTGCTTTCAGAATTGATCTCCAGAGGTCTGACAGTACTTTCCTCCCCTCAGCATGCAACCTCAATTTTTACTTCTGGCAGAGTCTAGGGTCTTCATTTGACTGCTGGTGATGTAAAATTTCAAAATAGCATAGTGCAGAAAGTCTGTCCCACTGGCTGTTGCACTAAGCAGTCTAGGGACGCTTTAAACCTGGAGGTTGAGGGCTCTTACATTCTGAGAAATAGCTAACATTGCTCCTTGGTAAATCCATCCCTTTATTTTCCGTCCTCAAAGATTGCTAAAATGGAGACACATCTGTGTCCTCTTTCTGGGATCTGTGGTCATCATTAGACCTTAGGCACTGAGCTTGCTTTTCTTATCTTCCTTCTTCAACTTTTTCTGAGACGCAGCCTCGCTCTGTCACCCAGGCTTGTCTGTAACTCATGGTCTTCCTCTGCCTCAGCCTGCCTGGCTCTGGGATTACAAGCCTGTACTAAGGAAGCCTGGTCAAATAGTTGTTTCTTCTTATGCTTTTCTCTTATTTGATTCATTGTTCCATTTTTATAGGTGTCTTACCTGTAAAAAAGAACAGTTTGTGTCTTGAGCTCTGCCTAATGTAGAGATTTTAGAACAAGCATCCTTGGCACTCTCTCTGTTTATGCTTAGGTGGGAGACAACAAAACACAAAGCATATTAATTTCTGCCTGTGATCTGATGGGCTTCCCTGTGGACCAGCCTAAACTGACCATCGGAGAGCTTGGTTTAAGTCTGCGCTGAGCTTATATAGGAACATGGCCATTGCAGAGGATTTTGTGCACATACTTTCTGGTTATAACCCTTGTTAAAAAGTTAACCCTTTTGCAACCAATTCCAGAGATTATGGATTAGCTGAGTGAAAACAGGAAGACCCAGATCCACAGTCCCTGATGTGAGAAGCTTTTATTTTCATGTTACTAAGACGGTCAATGTGACAATGTACCATCGCTCCCCAAGTAATTCAGTTGCTTTTCTCATTGCTGTGGACCAAACACCTAACAAGAGGCCACGCAAGGAAGAGCTTGTTTTCTGTTGGCTCGCAGTTCAGGTGACACAGTCCACCTGTGCTGAGGGAGCCACGATGGTAGAACAGTTCCTGAGCATGACCACAGGGCGGTGTTTGCTCCATCTCTGCAGATCAGAGCATGGGGAGAGAAGAATGCAGCCTTCACACAGTTCCTCCTTTTCCTCTCTTTGTCCGGTCCACGACTCCAGCCCAGGAGACAGTTCTACCCACATTCAGTGTCATCTTCCCCCCCTCGATTAATCCTCTTTGAACTTCCCTCACAGACATGCCCAAATGTGTACCTCGCTAAGGTTCTGTGTGTTTTTCAGTCCAGCCGTTAACAGTTGAAATGAGCCATAGCAGGCTGTGACATGGAAAGAATAGTATAAGTCCATGGGTAAGTACCAGGGCTGGGAATTTCCATCATTGAGTATGCCTGGAAGTCAATATCAAAACACGCCTTTAATCCCAGCACTCAGAAGGCAGAGGCAGGTGGCTCTCTGTTCAAGGACAGCCTAGTCTACAGAGTGAGTTCCAGGACAGCCAAGGCTACAGAGAGACCCTGTCTCAAAATCATACACACCTAAAGACCTGTTTCCTTTTTTAACAATTATGACTTTTTGTGTAACGAACAGTAAGTCACTGAAAAGCGTCTTCTGCTAATTCTAAAAGCAGCACATGTTCTCTAAAGAAAAGGCGCGTGTGGCCCGAGGGCGGGACCTGTGTCAGAGCGCCAGCACCCATGTAAACATCTGGGTTCAGTGGTGTGTGCTTGCAATCGCTTGGGCTTTGCCACTGAGGTGCCGTGTCTCAAAAAACGAGAGACGGTTCCTAACAAACAGTACTTGAGGTTGACCTCTGGCCTCGACACGCACAGGCACAAACATGCAAGCACACGTGAACAATCACGTAGAAAATCATGTCTGGAAGTGTGCCAATCTGTTTGCTCACTGCCCTGTGGCTTCCTCATCTCCCATGAGACATTCTGCTCTCGGGGCATCACTAGTCATAGCCCAGGGCAGCCATGTGTCCCAGCATCACAGCAGAGGGACCACAGAGGGACCAAAGAGATAGATACTGTCCTCAAGAGATGCGTGGCCTACCACATCCCCTAGCCAAAGACCTCTGGCAGCTCATCCCAAGCTGCCAGACACTGGCGGGAACACTTGGGGCAGCTGGGGAGAACCAGGGTCACCAGTGATGAGTACTCAGGCTCAGCACGCTCCCGATTACACCTCAATGTCCCACAGTCCTTGTCATTTGAAAGAAGAAAGGACACAGGGCGGTGGCCCCAGGTCCCCCAGGCTTCTAGGAACCTGTCAGAGCACGTATTCATCCTCTCTTTGTCTTTGCTGACTTTGGATCCCACCTTTCCCTCTCCTGGACCTGTCTTCCCAGAAGGAAACTGAGCTAGCCCCCACTGCCACCACTGCGCTGAGCCCAGGGTCAGCAATGCCCGTGTCAGTCACCATGAGGAACAGGACCTCTGGGAAATTAAAGAGTGTGTGCACCGTGACAGGCTCCTGACCAGGTCCAGAGCAGGCTGGAGGCCAAAGATGTAACTCACAGTGAAGGGGAGTCTTGTAGGTCACGGGAAAGCTCACCGCCCAGGACCTAAGGAATCTGCAACTGAGCAGAACTTCTTGTTCTGCCGCTCACTTGAGTATCTGCCACACAGGCCCCAGGTGACCGCAGGGCCGCCACCTGCCCATCCTCCACCTGCTTAGGTCTCGGCGTGTGCGGGCGGTGGCTTTCCAAAGCTGTGGTCCTACAGTTCAGGGTGTGCAGCGCCTAGCACTGTTCGCAGAGAGCCACAGCTGGTGGTTCATTTCCCAGCAGGAGACCTTTGTGAACCTTTGAATGTTTTTCTTTCTCTCCTGCCTCTACCCCTTGCTCCAACTTGACAATCTTTCCTTTTTTCAGATTTTGGCCACACCCACTCCAGGTCCAACAGACTGGCCCAAAGGAGGACAGCGCGCAGCCAGAAAGCGTGACTGTCAGGTCTGGATAACGACTCCACAGCTCTGGTTTGTAGAGCACCGACCGTATGCCAGGTACAGGTCTGTCTCATCTATACTAAGCTAAGGTGGGAAATAATCCCTCGCTTTAGTGTTTCCTGGACAAAACCAGCTTAAGGCATGAAAGGTTCGCTTTGGCTCATGGTTGGAAGTCACATAGTCCATCATGGCAGCTGCATGATGGAAGCAGAGAGATATGGATGCTGGTCCTCAGCTTGATTTCCCCTCCTTTCTATTCAGCCCAGAACCTCAGCCCAGGGGATGGCGACACCCACTTTTAGGGTGGGTCTTCATCCTTAGTTAACCCCTTCTAGGTGACCTCTCACAGGTATTCCCAGAGCTGTATCTCCTAGGTGCTTCCAGACCCTGTCAGGCTGACAGCCAACATTACCCGTCACATGGAGGTGACCTAAGACTTCACGTAGGGAGAATGGACAATTAAAGGAAAGCACGGCTTGCCTGGTGTATGGTTGTGACGAGACTGTGGAGCCGATGGGAAGTAATCTACAGGAGCCTTTACGGGTCAAAACTAAGGGCTTTTTGAATTTTTGTTTGTGTGTGTGTTGATGTGGTGATGTGCACGCATGCATGGGAAGGTCGGAGGATAGCCTTGGGTACTGGTCCTCAGTCTCCTCCCACCTCTTCTTTGACATGGCTTACACGAGGCTCAGGCTCACAGGGATCCTCCCGTCTCTGCCTCCCGCCTCCCGGGTTACAGGCGTGTGCTGCCATGCCCAGATTTTTATGTAGATTCTGGGGCTGTCAGCTCAGATCTTCACACTTGCAAGGCAAGCCCTTTACTTGCCTTCTCCCCAGTTCCCATGGTATATTTTAAAGACAGCATCTCGCTGCAGCCCAGCCTGGCCTCATGCTTGCGGTTCTCCAGGCTTAGCCTCCCAAGTGCCTAGATCACCATGTCTGTCTACGAGCAGTATCTGAAGGTCTATTACAGCAATGCGAGAAGCCGCAGGATAAAAACCGTGACTGTAAGAGGCTGGCAGCAGGCGTTGGTGGCACACACCTTTAATCTCAGCGCTCTGGGGAGGGGGTGCAGAGGCAGGCAGATCGATGAGTTTGGGGCCAGCATGGTCTACAGAGCGAGTTCCAGGATAGCCAGCATTACACAGAGAAACCCTATCGTGAAAAAAAGAAGAAAAGGGGGGCAGGGCTGGTGGGAACAGGGCAGCTCACAGGTTTGTGTGAGCATAAACGGTCTTCCTGGGATTTACCTCCTTGGATAAGATGAACCTGGGTTGGAGGCATGAACCATGCTTCTGGCTGTTTATACAGCACTGTGGTCCACTAAAACCACAGGGGGTTCCTCCCATGCCCTGTTTCCTGAAGTAACAATGCTGAGACTTTATTATTTATGAATACATGCCTAGGCCATATGCTTTGGCTCATTTTTCAGACTAGTTTTTAATTTAAATTATCCATTTATTGTATTCTATGTGTGTCACATGGCTGGCTACCCCTCCTCAGTTTCCTGTGTCCTGAGTCCCTGGGTGAAACCTCCTGCCTCTATCACTCCTTGGCCACATATACAAAACTCATGGCCTGGTAGGTGTCATCTTCCTTAAGCCAAAGGATGACCAGAAGGATCTACTTGGCATTAGCAAGGTGTCAAGGCAGTGGCTTTCAGAGAAGATGTGGTTGAGAGCAGATACTAAAGAATCAACCTCCCGGGACTTTGCTAACCTTACCACAAATATGGAGACTTGCCATGAGTTGAAGAAGAAATCATGCAGGAAGTTAGTCGCATCAGTGAAAACACAGCATGCTAGAAAATGTGGAATGCAGCCAAAGCCGAGCTCTGAGGAAGAATCATAGCTCTGCATGCCTGCACTCGAAGGGAAGAAAATCCCAATTAGTCATCAGAAAAAAAAGAAATGATAAAGACAAGGACTGAGATAAGTAGATCTGAGATAGGCCAATAAAAAGAATGCCAATAAAGCCAGGGGTTGGGACTTGGAATATTTGGGTGTGTGTGTGTGTGTGTGTGTGTGTGTGTGTGTGTGTGTGTGTGTATTTATGAGCACAAGTGTTTCCAGATATGTAGGACAACTTCTGTTATCATCCTCCGGGATGCCATCCACCACCTTTGAGACAGGGTCTCTCTCTGAACCAGGAACTCACTGCTTCAGCCCTAGGGACTGTTTCCACCTGCCCAGCATTAGGATTACATCTCACACTTCTGATTTTTAGTGGGTTCTGGGGATCAAACTCAGGTCCCTCACGCTTTACCCACTGAGCCATTCTGCCAGCCCTTGGAATGGCTCTCCTGACAAACCTTTATCTATACACTGACAAAGAAGAAGAAGAAGAAGAAGATAACTTAGATTACAGAAATAGAAGGGATATTGTTAGCTGTACTTTACAGGGATAAAAAGGATCGTGGTCAAAGCCATGAGCAACTATCACCAATGAACAGGACAACTTTAGGGAGACAAATTCCTAGAGTAATACAGACGACCTAAACTAGCTCAAGAAAAACAGAGTATGTAAATGACCCATGGCGAGGAAAAATGAGTGATCCCATCAAAATAACAGTGGGTCTCGGAGGTGACTGTCTGGAAACTGCTGGGCATACTTGTATGAGGACTTGAGGCTGATACTCAGAAGCCATGTTAAAAAAAAAAAAAAAAAAAAAAGCTGGTCAGTGACAGGCACACTGCTGTAATCCCAGAGCTGAGAGACAGACAAGGGGACCTCTGGTGCTTGCTGGCCAACCCTCTTAGCTCATGAGGAAAGTTCCAGGCCAGTGAGAGACTCTGTCTCTAGATAAGGTGGATGACAGCTGAGGAATGAAGGTTGACCTATGGCTTCTACATAAATGCATACACAAGCACAAACACACACAAATGACCCCAACACATACAGAGAAGCCTATGCTCAGGTCCTTGTAAGTTTGACTAAGTAAGAGAAATGTTAATGCTAATTCTCCAAAAACTCTTCCAGATAGTTGAGTGGGAAAGAATATTTCCCAAGTCATTCCTATCAAGCTAAAACTCAGACCCTGAGTTCAGACACTGAACTCAGAACCAGACATCACAGGAAAAGAAAACCACAGATGAGTAACTCTTATGAACACAGATGCAGAAATACTTTTTATTTTAAACCTAGGAAATTGTATCAAGGTTTTGTGTGTGTGTGTGTGTGTGTGTGTGTGTGTGTGTGTGTGTGTGTGTGAATGTAACTAAATTGGATTCATCCTTGGTGTGGAAGGTTTAGTTAGCATCTGAAAACAACATGGAACACACGACATTGACAGAATCTTAAAAGCCACATGATCATCTCGATAGATGCAGGAAAGTCTGATTTAAGAAAATCTATAAGCCATTCAACAAGCAAGTCAACAAGCAGGAAAGTGAGGGAACTTCAGGAGTCTAATAAATGACATCTATTAGTGAGAAAGGGGTATATTATGTTCAATGGTGAAGACTGGATACTTCCTAAGACCAGGAACAAGACAAGGGTGTTCATTCTCTCCTCTTCTGTGTACTCAGGTGTTAGACAGACAATTAGGTAAAAGGGAGAAATAAAATTCAAAAGAGCTAGGGAGGAAGCCCAGGGGTAGATTGCTTATTTAGAACCTTGAAATATCTGCCTAGAATCCCCCAGTGAGGGGCTGCAGTGTGGCTCAGTGATACAGCCCCTGCCTAGAATCCTCCAGTGAGAGGCTGGGGTGTAGCTCAGTGGTAGAGCTCCTGCCTAGATTCCCCCAGTGAGGGGATGGGGTGTGGGTCAGTGGTACAGTTCTTACCTAGAAAACTTAAGGCCTTGGGTTTCGTCAGCACCACAAAACTGTATCCACTAACATGCACACAAATGTATTCAGACTGGAAAGTCAGAAGTAAATGTGTCTGAGATGACATGATCTTACACATAGATAATTCTAAGACCCTTAGTAAGGAACTATCCATGCTAGTAAACGATTTCAGATGACATGGGCTTCCTAAAGGCTAGAGCCTCCCACCCCAAGTTATGCCACTCTGAAGACCATGTCTTCACATACAGAGCTTTGAGTGGCATTCAACACCCACGCTGTACCATTTCCTGAAAACTATAAAACATGACTGAATAAGTTAAAAATTGAAAAGGAACACATGAAAATCAATTGTGCATTTGTACATCATCAATGAGCATTCCTCAAGTGAATTTAAGGAAGTAAAGCCCATTTATAACCACTGAAATAACAAAAACATGCAGAAATAAATTTAACAAAAGAAATGCAAGATTTACTTGGCATGTTAGTGAGCTTTCTGACATTGTAAGGAATTTCCCTGATACGTGAGGCTTAGGAGGTAAAAACAGGTTTCATTCCTGAACGTCCGAGATTGGGCGGCGCTCTGGCTTTGGCGTCTGGTGGGAACAGCCCATCATGATAAAACAGAATGTCAAGACAGAAAAGACAGAGAGAAAAAGAGTGGAGAGAAGGGAGAGGGAGATGGAGGGAGGGAGAGAGAGGTTTTCCACATTCCTTTTATCCTGTGTCCCCAGTGACAGACCTTTGGGTGATATGTGACAAGCTGTAGCACACACTGCCACCCTAAACCATCACTGAAAGAACTGGAGAAGCTGTGCACACAGGAAAAGGCACCCTATGCTCATGAACCAGGGGCTCAGTCTTCTTAGACAGCAGCAGTCCTCAATGCTTTTCATAGTCAGTGGGTTCTCTGTCAGAATACCAGCTAGGTTTGTTTTTTTGTTGTTGTTTGCTTTGTTTTGTTTTGTTTTGTTTTGTTTTTTTGTTTGCAGAAATGACAGGGGAAGGCCTGGGGAGATGTCAAGTCCCTTCACACAGGTAAAAGGCCAGGCACAGCAGTTTGTATCTGTAACAGAAACACTAGGAAGGCAGGGGCAGGAGGATTCCTGGACTCACTAGTGAAAGGATCTAACCAAACTAATATGCTTTAAGCTCAGTAAGAGACTCTGTACAAAAACGCTACGTAGAGAGCTGTTGGGACAGTCACCAAAGACTAGTTCTTGGCTCCACATGAATATGCACACACGCATGCAAATAAGTAATGAATTCCAGAATTTATGTAAAGGGGCACCTTGTTAGGTGCCAGTGCTACCAAGGAAGAAAGAGAGAGAGAGATGCAGTGCGGTTGAGAGACCAGGAACAAACACTGGCATTAACCAGCTGATTTGCTGAGTACCAAGGTCATTCGGTGGGGGAAGATGAGTTGTTTTTGTTGTTGTTGTTGTTGTTTTACCAGATAACCAGATATCTACATATTTTTTACATGTAGTTGAGGAGGTTCGCTGCTCTTGCAGAGGACCCAGGTTCAGTTCCCAGCCCCCTCATCCAGTGGCTCACAACCCCTTATAACTCTAGTTCTTGGGGACAGATGCCCTCTTCTGGCCTCTATGGGCACCTGCACTCATGCACACACTAACACGTAGCCTTACACACATACGCAAAATTGAGTTTTCACCTTCAAGATGAAGGAGGAGGAGAAAGAAGAGGATGGAGGAGGAGGAGGGGGAGGATACATGGCTTGAATGTGAAATATCTGCCGTTGGCTCGTGGCTTTAAACACCTGGCTCCAGCTGGTGGTGCTGTTCAGGCCTCATTCCTGTTCGTTCTCTGCCTCCTGACTGTGGGTGTGACGTGGCCAGCGGCCTCTCTCCTGCCACCACGCCTTCCCCACCATAGTGGAAAGATCCCCCTGATTGTGACCCAGAACAGATCCCCTGTTCCTTAAGTTGATTTTGTCAGGGTCTTTTGTCACGGCAGCAGGAACAGATCCCTACCTCACACCACAAGCAAAATTTAATGAAATAGATCATAAGCCTTGATTTAAAAGATAAAGTATAAAACCGTAACAAGAAAAAAATCTAAGTCTTCAATGCATTGCTTTGTCATTAGACCAGTGAGTCTGAGAGCAGCCTGTGGTCATGCTCCCTTTGGGATCATGCAGATCAGGTATTTACCTGTGATTCGTAACAGTAGAAAACTACAGTTATGAAGTAACAACAAAATAATTTTATGAGCAGGGGTCACCACAACATGAGCAACTGTATTAAAGGGCCAAAGCCTTCGGAAGGTTGAGAACCGCTGCATTAGACAATGGCTGCTTTAGGACTGCTGAGGTGAAAACATTCAATAAATTTCACCACATATGAATTTAGAAGTTATGGACCGAAGAGATGGCTCAGCAGGTAAAGGCATATGACACCATGCCTGTTGACCTGAATTCAAGCTCAGGGGCCCGCATGATGGAAAGAGAACCAACTGCCCCAAGCTGCCCTCTGTCCTCCATGTGTGTGCCCGGCTACACACTCACCCACATACATATGCACGCATGCGCACACACACACACTTAATTTTACAAAAGCATAGAAAATGTATGCAACAAACATTGTCTTATAATTGCGAAGATAATTGACAGAAAAGAAGAAAATACTTGCAGGTCAGATACCTGACGACAGTCCTGTGCACAGGATTCATGAGGAAACCCTGCAACTCAGTAATGAACAGAAAGATGCCCAGTCATAGAGTGGGTGAAGGGTCTGAACAGATATTCCTCGGCACAAACAGCCAATATGCACGTGAAAGGCACTCTGCACCATCAGCCATTAGGAAAATGCAAATCAAACCACAGGGAGATGCTGTTTCCCAAGCAGGATATTGGCTATCATGGGGAAGACAAAGGAGAACCGGCCTTAGTTGAGAATGTGGAGGGCTCTATTCCTCAGGCATCCACTGTGGCAGGTCTTCAAGATGTGACACACACTGGGTCTGAGGAGATGGCTCAGCAGGTAAGAGCACTTGCTGTGAAAACTCACCTTTTCACATTCCTGAGTTCAAATCCCCAGCGGAGTAGGAGACAAGAAAGACAAGGTCACTGCGGCTTGCTGACCACCAGCCTGCCTCCAGGGTCAGTGAGAGAGCCTGTCTCACAGCAACAGGGCAGGGAGTGATAGAACAGGACACCCAGCATCCTCCTCTGGCCTCCATACGCGTGCATGCCTGTGTACATGCACACACATTATATGCGCACAAAGTATTTTTTAAACATGGAATTTCCTTACACCTTAGAGTTTCCAGTTCTCTGTATCTATGCAAAGGAACAAAAAGCATGTATCCACACAAAGTCCTGTTCAAATGTGTCTCCAGCAGCATTGTCATCAAATTACTCAAGAAAGAAGAAAGAACGCAAACCACCATCAGGTCATGAAGAGCCGAACTGTGAAACCATCACAAAGAACAATCATTTGACAATGAGTGTGTAGTGTGTGTGCGTGTGCGTGTGTGTGTGTGTGTGTGTGTGTGTGTGTGTGTGTGTGTGTTCGCCTGTGTGGGGCTGTACCTGTGCATACAGGACAAGTCTGGTGTCGTTCTTCTGATGCTGCTCTTGGGTTTTTTGAGACCAGGACTCAAGGATTCACCATCTTTGCCTCGTCAGAGAGATTGCAAGCGTGCACCACTATGGCCAGTTTTTTATTCTGTGGGTTCCAGAGATCAAACTCCACAAACTCAGGGCCTCCTTTGACTCCTCGGTCTTGAGGGACAGTTTTTGGAGGAAGTGCCAGCTTCTGGAAGAAGCAAGCTACACAAGGCTGGAAATGCTTTTGATTGTCACTCAGCACCATCTAGAGTCACCGGGGAAGAGAGTCTTGGTGAGGGATTGTCTAGGCCAGCTTGATCTACGGGCGTGCCTGGGGGCAAGGTGTTCAGACGAGACCTTCAGGAAGAGCCATTCCCTAGGCTTGAGTTTTGAACTTGGAGTAGAGAATGTAAGCTGAGCCCCCGAATGTGTTCCTTTCTCTCTGCTCTCCACTGTGGCTATGACCCAGCGGGCTGCCTCAGCTGCCTGCTTGTCTTCCCTGCAGTGATCCGGTGAGCTGGGACCCTGAGCTAACATTAACCCGCTGTCTCCCGAGGTGTTGTCTTCTCAGGGTGTTTTGTCACAGCCACAGAAACGAAACTAGGAAGCCTTGGGAACAAAAAGTGCACTAGTTGTTGCCAGGAGCTGGTAGAACGGCTGGGTTTCTTTTCAAAATAATGAGCATGTTTTTAATTGATTGTGGTGACAGTCACACAGTTTGTGAGCCATTAAACTGTACACATTAAAAAGATGAATCATGTGCCACATGACTTACAGCCCGATAAAGAAAGCTGTTTTGAAAGGAAGGGACGAAGGAAGGAAGGGAGCCAGGGAGGGAGAAAGAGAAGGAGTAAAGGAGAGGCTATCGGGTGCCTGGTGTTCCCTGGCCTCCATTTGTGTGCCCACGCACCCTGCGTGCGCGCGCGCACGCGCGCACACACACACACACACACAACTGAATAAACAGCCAACAAGATGTTTTCATCAAAACAGTGACCACGAACAGGAAAGACAAAGTACCCTAAAAATATTAGGCCACGATGAGAAATGCATGACATCGTTTTACAGCCCTGCAGGCAGCAGGCGCAGCTCGGCAGCAAAGGCCATTTCCTGCTCTTGCAGAGGGCCTGGGTTCAGTTCTGAGCACCGAAGTCAGCAGCTCATGACCTCCAGTAATTCCGGTTCTGGGAGATCCGACACCCTCTTCTGGCCTTCACAGGCACCTCTCCACACAAGGTGCACACAAACTCATGCAGGGAGGCATAAATAATACATAAGCATTTTGTCGTCAAATTAAAATGAGCAAGTTTACAGTGTTTGAGTTATAGCTCAATAACATCTTAAAAAATGAACCAATTAGATCTATATGAACCCACCTAAATAAACCTCAAAAAAAAAAAAAAAATGCAGAAGGACTTGGAAGGCAGAAGCCAGCAGATCTATGTGAGTTTGAGGCCAGCCAGGTCTACAAAGTATGTTCAGGACAGTCAGGTCTGTTACATAGAGAAACCCTGTCTAAAAAAAAAAAAAAAGACAGAAAGAAAGAAAAGAAAAAGAAAAAGAAAAAAATAGCAGAAGGAAAAATAGCAATATTGGAAGGGATATAGACAGTATGGTATCATTTGTGTGGATTTGAAAGCAAATGGCATTGTATAAATATTATTTGGAAAAAGATACGTTTTCAGTAAGATAAAACCTGCTCGGGAAAGCATACGCCGAGACAGGACTTTCCCTCTGTCCCTATAAACCACCCTTTAAAAAATGTTACAGCTCATCTTTCTATTGTTTTGTGTTTAGTGCGTAGGAAAATTTATACTCACATTTATGCCCCATCCCCTTCGCCCTGGGATAAAAGGCAATATGTCCTCCGCACCTTCCTCCGCTATACTGTTTTTTTACTTCAGTTTAGCCATATATCCCAGCCATCACTCCTGAGCGTTTTATAGCATTGTTTCATGGAGGCTTTTTTATTAACCGTCTTGGTGTTTACACCTCACAGGAGGAGGGCCAGCTATGGATGACTACATGGAGACGCTGAAGGATGAAGAGGAGGCCCTGTGGGAGAACGTGGAATGCAACCGGCACATGCTGAGCCGCTATATCAACCCCGCCAAGCTCACTCCCTACCTGCGCCAGTGCAAGGTCATCGACGAGCAAGATGAGGACGAGGTGCTCAACGCGCCCATGCTGCCATCCAAGATCAACCGGGCAGGTGACGGTGGGAAGGGAAATGAGGGGCGCACAGGTGGCCGGCTGGGGCCTCTGGTTAGCAGGTTCAAGCTGGGCTTCTCCAGAAGGCGGGCTCCTTGGCTTTTCCTAGTGAGGCCTCAAATGTCTACTGGTCCCAGCTAGGCACCAAAGACTGACCGCGCCCACAGCTCCACCCACGTCTCTCTCAGGGAACTAATTCGTTACTTGTCAGGGTTACTTAGGGGAGCGTGAATGAGGAGTTACATGAGCGTGGAGGGAGCAAGGAGGAGAGGGTTCCTGGCAGGAGTGTGGGTGAGAGGCTGCTTACATGGGTAAACAGGTCCTAACAGTGTGAGGGAGGGTCTCCGCACGGGAGCCTGATTAGGGGGCTCTGTGCGGGAGCCTGGGTACGGGGTCCCTTGCAGGAGCATAGGTGGCTCTGGCAGCTCCGGCACAGGCGACACCGCTCACATACTCTCAAGGGCTGCATCCCCGGGGCCCTCTGTACAGCTTGCAGGCACCCCACTGAAGACTCTCCTCCCCCAGCCCCTGACTATGAAGCCTCTGGGAGGGGCCTTGGGAATCTCCTGAGCTTCATGACGCCCACATCTCAGCGCCGCTTCCCCTGAGCATCCTGGTCCTCTCTCCGGGTGGGAGTGTTACACCTGGAGGAAACAGCGCCACAACAGACCACCGTCGGGCCTGTTCTGAGCTCTGTGTGTGCAGAAGGGAGAATGGAGGAGCTTGAAGCGGAGGGCACACGCCCAGCTTTTACAGCCCCACACTGACATGTCATGCTATGAATGTCAGCAGGCGACAGATCATGCTACTGATTAGTAACACCTGTGACTTCGTCAACAGGAAAAACAACAGGGAGGGTCTGTAGCACAGCACAGCCCTGCAGGTGCCTTCGTGTGCTATTTCACTCATCCCTGCCTAGAACTTACAGCAGCTGTTAGACCTGTCAAAAAAAAAAGGGGGTTGTTTAATACATTAATAAAGAAATTCATTTAGTATCAAATCACAGCTTTGCTTAATATTTAAAAGCTGCATTTTACCATAGGGTTCCTTTACGGTCTGATGTATGTAATGTTTTAAAATGCTATTTTGCTGGGAGATGTAGCCCTGTGGTAGAACACCTGCCTAGAATCCCCCAGTGAGGGGCTGGGGTGAGGCTCAGTGGTAGAGCTCCTGCCTAGAATTTCCTAGTGAGGGGCTGGGGTATGGCTCAGTGGTAGAGCCCCTGCCTAGAATCCCCCAGTGAGGGGCTGGGGTGTGGCTCAGTGGTTGAGCACCTACCTAGAATCCCCCAGTGAGGGGCTGGGGTGTGGCTCAGTGGTTGAGCACCTACCTAGAATCCCCCAGTGAGGGGCTGGGGTGTGGCTCAGTGGTTGAGCACCTACCTAGAATTGCTTAGTGAAAAGCTGGGGGCATGGCTCAGTGATAGAATGGTTGCCTACTGTGCACAAGGCCCTGGTTTCCATCACCAGCACTATGAAAATATATAATATACTGTTCTAAGAAGAAATCCATACGTTTTCTAATGGTTCACAAGACTTGCTCAACTTTATTATGCTGTTTCATGTGCCAGTGTGTGTTGGCCACTGGGTCACACCACACAATGTTTTCCTTTCTTCGGATCACAGTTGGAAGGGTTTGGAAATGCCCATCACACAGCACAGCAGACAAGCGGCCGGCTGGCTTCCACTGTCTTTTGCATCCATGGAAGCCCACCATAATTAAGCCCGCATGCTCTCCCACTGGGCTTGGATGCTGCTTTGGAATCCTTTTCAACACAGTGCTCCAGGCAGCTTAAACTAAACAGCCAGGATTGACACGCAATGAAACTGATCCTTTCTGTCCCAGGGAAATGGAGTGTTAGGAACCTCAAGGGAAGGTGATATCTGAGAATATTTAAAGAAAGACCACGAAGTACAAACATAAGAGAAATCAGTAGCGTCTTATACCTTGTATTTGTTGATAGAATAAAAATCTGAGGCAGGGCAGTTCAAAAAGGAAAAAAAAGTGTGTTAAGCCTAATTTAGACTCAGCTCCGATAAAAGACCTCTTACCGATGTCATGTAACAGCAGGGGCATGTGGGTGAGGAAAAGATGGCGTCACCAGGACACCAGGGACTTTCCAGGAGCAGAGCCCTGAATGATTCTAGGACCCTCCATGGGCCACTTCTCTTAAAGGTCCCATCACCAAGTATCTTCTCCAGAATGAAGGACCAAGCTCCCAACACACAAACATTTGGGAGGACAAAAAGAAGCCCAATTACAGCAAGTAGGATGAATGCTAGAAACTGTAGAAAAGATGGCATACAAAGACGTCCTCGGGATGTGTAAAACTCAAAGAACAGATCTGTGCCCCTTTCCCACAGCTTTCCACAGGCACGAGTTACCTTTCTCGTTGCTGTGACAAAATGCCTTACGAGAAGCAACCTGAGAGAGTGAAAGGTTTGTTTTTGGCTCACAGTCTGAGGTGACTCAGTCCATCATGGCTGCTCACACTGCCTGTACAGGAAGCGAAGCATAAACAGGAAATGGGGCTGGTCTATATAACCTCAGGACCCTCCTCCAGGGACTGACTTCCTCCAGCAAGACTCATCTCCTAGAGGTTCCACAACCTTCCTGAACGGTGCCACTCGCTGAGGCCCGAGTGTTCAGACATGCAAGCCTTCGAAGACATTTCACGTTCAAACCACAGCATGCAAGTATTTGTCTTTCTGCACTGAACCCCAGGGAGCCAGGGGATTCCCAGTCTTCTCCAGTCACAGAAGAGGAGCTGGTGCCTTCATGGTCCGTTTTTGTTTTGTTTTGTTGTTTGGGTGGTGAGGTTTGGTTTTTGTCTTTTTGTGGTACTTGGCGATCAAACCCAGGGCCTTTTGCATGCAAGGCAATTGCCCCACCACTGAGTTCTACGCCCAGACCCTTCTTGATTCATTTTAGCACCAGTAGAGTGGTAAGATCTCTGGAAGTGTTTGTTTATGCGTCTCTCTGGCAATAATGCCATCTATCCAGGTTTTCTCAGGGTATTAGCACACTGGTGACACTCATGGGAGTCTGTCTAGGGCCTGGCTTTGTCCAGACTCCATGCCATAACTCGGGAATGAGAGAATGAGGTGAGACTTTGGGTGTGGTGGCGTTATTCCTATTGCTCGAGAGGTGGACACAGGCTGGGGCTCGCTGGCCACAGTGGAGGTCAGCCAAAAGCCAGAATCAAGGGACAAGATGTCTGAAAGAGTGATTGCCACCCACCCCCGCTGTTACGATGGGACATTTATGTGACACACACGCAAGGCTCAGGGATGATCGAGAAAGAGGAGCAGGAAGAGTGTAAGAGTCAGAGGTGGTGGGAGTCTGGGGGCAGAAACATGTCAGACACGCTAGGGCAATTGTACACATGCCTCCCCAGCAGCTGTGCTTGTATGCACAAGACCCGCACGAGGTAAAGCCAGCCGAGACACCCTCCTGGGTAGGAGGGGTCTCATGACTTCCTCGTGAAATCTCACCCTCACTGAGGAACTGCTGGTAGTTGGTGCTTCCTGGGAGAGCGAGAGTCGGTTTTCTTCAGGGGTGGGGGATGGATACAGACCAGTCTCTGGAAGCTGATAGCAGCTAGCCTTGGCGTCCTCAGTGGCAAACAAGAGAATCCGCCTCAAGGGAGGTGGCAGGCAAGGACCAACCCTTGAGGTTTTCTTCTGACACACAGACACCACGGCACATGAGTGCCCACATAGAATGCATGTGTGTGTGTACACGCACACACAGACTCAAAAAATGAGATGGGGGGATAGGGTTTTTATTGCTGCATTAAAAACCTTAACTAAGACAATACTTAAGGATCAACACCCAAGATTGTCTTCTGGCCTCCACACATGTGTGCTCACTCCTACAAACATATGTGAATAAACGCACACATGCACATACGCACACACGCACACACGCACACACGCACACACACACACACAAATATGGTAAGACTACCTAAGAGCTGTTAGGGGTTATAAGTTTAGTATGAGACATACATCCAGTCAAACATGTTCTCACGGGTTGGACTGAACCTCTCCCACAGGCCGACTGTTGGACATTCTTCACACCAAGGGCCAAAGAGGCTATGTGGTCTTCCTGGAGAGCCTGGAGTTTTACTACCCGGAACTTTACAAGCTGGTGACGGGAAAGGAGCCCACCAGGAGATTCTCCACCATTGTGGGTGAGTGGCTTTGCTACCGGGGGAGGGGAAATCTAGGAGGAAGGTCGGTGTGTGTGTGTGTGTCCCTTTGAGGGACAGCGTCATGCTGAACTCTCAGGCTGCCCACCGTTTACTTTAACTGATGACATGAGATAGGTGATGGGGGCAAACTGAAGCAAGGGCTAAGAGAACCGGGTGCTTGTTAATCACCCCTCGAATCAGTGTCGGAGTCAGGACAGAAGGTCAGTGTATCCCCGGAATCCCCCTTCCTAAGAGTCCTTGAATCAGTTTACTCTCTGTCTCCGACCCCAAGCCCCCTTTTTCATCTGAGACCTGCTGTGTTAGTCTCTCAGTTCTTCAGGTATCACTTCGCCAGCTTAGACCCAAGACTCGGGTCTTTAATGTGACCACAAGGTCTCTACATACTCCATGCTCGCTTCTTCTCTCCCCCCTCCTCCCTCCCTCTACTTCCAGAATTGTTCTCCTGTCCCTCCAAAACTCAGCCCCTGCCCCTACCCCGTGACACACTCATGATCTCCGTGCCTAATCTGTGCGGAACCCTCACGTCTAGTTATACTGAGGTTGTCATCATTTCATTTTTTTTTTAAACATCTGTCTTTCTATATGTTAAGGCCTACTACCATGAAGGCCTGTTTGGTTTACCCTGAGCCCCCAGTGGCTGCTGGGAACTAAGAGCTCCGTGAACACTGCTATCCAGGCCTGGTAGTACAAGTTTATAACCCCAGATACCTGGCAGGCTGAGATAGGAAAATCCAAGCTGAAGGCCAGCCCGGGCAGTTCGGTGAAACTTTATCTCCAAAATGCTACGAAGCGCTAGGGTTATAGCATCGCAATAAATAAGCAAATAAAACGTTGATGGGTGTATTAGTTGCTGTTCTCGTTCCCGTGACAAAACACAGAGGTAATTTAAAGACGGAGGAGTTTCGTTTTGAGGCTACAGGCCCCTCGCGGTGGGGAGGGCATGAGGCAGAAACTCGAGGCAGCCAATCATATTGTGTCTGCAGTCGGGCAGCGGGAAAGATGGATGCTGGCGCTCAGCCTGCTTTCCCCTTGTCATTCAGTCCGGGACCTTGTAATGGTGCCGCCTACACTTGGGATGTGTCTCCCCACCTCACTGGCGTGTTCAGAAACCTGTCTCCTGGGTGTGTCTAGATCCTGTCCCTTCAGCGACATCACAGTGGGTGTATGAGTGAATCGATGCCCCCACTGCCACCTCGCCTCAGGTCTGACTGGGTACCCTCTCCACAGTGGAGGAGGGCCATGAGGGCCTCACGCACTTCCTGATGAACGAGGTCATCAAGCTGCAGCAGCAGGTGAAAGCCAAGGACCTTCAGCGCTGTGAGCTGCTGGCCAAGTCCCGGCAGCTGGAGGACGAGAAGAAGCAGCTGACGCTGACCCAGGTGGAGCTGCTGACCTTCCAGGAGCGGTACTACAAGATGAAGGAGGAGCGGGACAGCTACAACGACGAGCTGGTCAAGGTCAAGGACGACAACTACAACATAGCCATGCGCTACGCCCAGCTCAGCGAGGAGAAAAACATGGCGGTGATGAGGAGCCGCGACCTCCAGCTCGAGGTGGGGACAGCTGGGGCCCGGCCGAACTGAGGGAAGGGGAGAGAACTGTCCTGGAGGGCCCAAGACCCCAGCTTTGTGTCCCAGACACGTGAGAGGAGATGGAGGGTGGGGGCCGCAGGCTCTGCAAAGGACGTATTGCAAGCAGTTGGATTCAGCCGCCTAGATCCACTCTGCGCATGTGCAGACACATGACCCGAGGGTAATTGGCCTGTAGCTACCGTGCACGTGTACAGACACGTGCACACAGACCCTGAGCCGGGAAAGAGAAGAGGAGACATTAGAGAGTCAGGGCTGCAGGTGTGTGAGGGGGTGTCTCACGCACCCGAGGCCCCATAATGAGACTCTCACAAAACTTAAGAGGCAGGATGGACAGCACCTGTTGGGTAGGCTTGTATTGACAGAGCTCAGCGTGCTTGCTGGCACAGGAGATGGCCAGTGTCTTCAGCAGGGAGCAACCAGCAGCCAAATGGTTGACCTATTTACTGAATTTACTTCCTAAGTGGAAAAGAGAAAGGTTTGCTTCATTTTAGTTTTTTGGTTTATCTGTTTGGTTTGTTTTTTCTGAGAGAGGGTTTCGCCATGTCGACCAGGTTGGCCTTGAGCCCACAATCCTCCTGCCTCAGCATCGACAATTATGGCATTACAGGCCTGTGCCAGCATGTCCTCATCTTTCCTTTTGGTTTTCTGATGACCACCAAATTCCTAGCTGCGTCCCAGGTGCATGGATGGACCTTATGACTAAGGTGTGTCTGTGAAACTGCAGGATAATCCACCTGGTTATTTGAGACGTAGCAAGAGTAGAGGATAAAGCCATGCACAGAAGTTCATACCTTCAGCCCTAGTGTGAGGGAAGCTGAGGCAGGAGGGTCACAAGGTTCCATGCCAGCTCGGCCCATGCAACATAACAAAAGAGAAAGACCTTGTCTAGGAGCTAGAAAAGGATGAAGAATGAGGAGGAGGTACTGCTTATTGCTCCCCCTAAGGTAGGGAGCACCACGGGAAATGGGACAGAAAGGAGGAGAGCAGAGGAAGGAGCGGGGTGCTGGGAAATGCGGTCTGTGAGACATTACCTGGCCTCTGCACTCTTGAACTCCGAACGGCTGTGATTAAATGCACATGACTGGGCCCATCCACATCTTGCCACACACGGGGGGAGGGCCTATGTCCCCTCCAGTCCTCCCTAAGGATGTGTGAACAGTTTATGTATACACAGAGGGGAGACGTTTTCTTCAGTGGTGTAGCTGGTGGTAAGGTGTCTGTGTTCCTGTCGATAACCCTTCACCTTTGCCCCTATAAGGCAACCCGAATGAAACTGACTGGGTCCCCCCAAAAAAAGGAGAGAAACTAGTTGGAAAGAGAAAAGGGATCAGCCAGAGTGGGATGGGACAAGAAAAGTTACGGTGAATGATAAAAAATTAATAAAAGGTGTACATGCGTGAAAATGTCAGGATGAAACCCATTGTCGTGTCTAATTAATACATGCCAGTAAGCATTTTAATATGTTTAATATGATAATATTATTTTAATAATAGATAAACATTTAATAAATAAAAAGAGTGGGAAAGCAAGGCATGAAAGTCAGGGACAGAAATGTAAAACAAAACAAGCAAAAAGCAAGCAGAAGACCTCTTGTCCCTTTCTGTCTTCTTAAATAGCTGGAGAAACAGTAAGCCTGGAGCCAAATGAGCAAATGGCACAAAAGGAGGAGGGGGTGTGGGTCCAGATCATGGGGGCATGGTGAGAACTCCGGGATTTATTCTCCCAGTGATGGGAAGCCATTGACGGATTGTGAGCTGGGGAGTGACAGCTGATTTATCTCTCGGGAGTCTTGCCCCGGCTGCAGGGTGGAAAGCAGACTCTCGGGATATTTATTAAGCACCTGCCATGAGTGAGACTCGCTATGCTAAGCACTGCAGGGGGATGTGGGGATAAATAACCGGAGCTCTGCTCAGGTCACGTACAGTGTGATGAAGTGGATTGGCCAGGAAACAGGCTGTAGGAATTCGGGTGGATTGAGCCCTCATCGCAGTTAGGAGCATGAAGCCAGGCATGGTGCACGCTGATACTCCCAACAGGAGGGAGAATGAGGCAGGAGAATCCCAAGTTCAGGGCCAACATTGGCTATATAACAAATCTGAGGCCAGCCTGGGTTACATAACTAAACAGACCTTGCCTCAGAAATCAGGGAGGGCTGAAGAGATGGCTCGGTGGTTAAGGACACTTGGTGCTCTTTCAGTAGGACCCAGGTTCAGTTCCCAGCACTCACACAGCAGCTCATGGCCATCTGTAACTCCTGTTCCAGGGTATCCTGATGCCCTCTTCTGGCCTTCATGGTCACCGGCACATATGTGGTACAGACATACATGCAGACAAAATACTCACCCATAAAATAAATACATCTACTTTTGAGAAAGTTCTATTTCTCAGAGTTTAGATTTTTACTTCTGACTTTGTGGCCTTATTGGCTATGGCCTCAGGTTTTGTGGGTTGTTTATTCATTTGGCTTTTTTATTTTGTTTTGTTTTTCTCATTTGTACAAGATGATAGGGGAAAGGTATCTGTGGCCCAGGATTGCTGGGATAGCACCATAAATCCTTAGCAGAGTAAGTCTCACAAGGGTGTGGGACTGGAAGTCTGGACACACCCTGAAACTACTTTCTTGGGCTGAACTTCAAAGATGGTGAATAGTAACTGTTTTCCGAGGATCAAGAAGGGGCCTCTGAGCTGTTTACTTAGGAGCTGGAAACAGCAGCCTGTAGCAGGGACTTAGAAGTTTCTCTATTAGAGCTTTATGCTGAATTATGCTCCAATAGATGGATGGATGGACAGATGGAGGGGCATGTGAGCAGAGGGATGGATGGACGGATGGACGGATGTTTAGATGTTGGGGGTGTTACATGTGTTGGGAATATACATGCAAGTGTAGGTGTGTGGCGGTGAAGACCAAAGGACAACTCCACTATCTTTCCTCAGGCACCACTCATCTCGTATTTTGAGACAGGGCCTCTCACTGGCCTGCAGCTCACCTAATAGGACAGGCTGGCTGGCCAGTGAGCCCCAGGGATCCGCTTGTCTCTACTGTGCCAGCACTCAGATTATAGGCATGCACCACCATGCCCAGTGTTTGATGTGGGCACTGGGGACCCAAACCCAGGTCCTAACACCCAAGAGGGCAAGCACTTTGACCACCTACCCAGCTCCTCAGCCCCCTTCCCAACATTTCTTGCCAGCCGCCCTCACCCATCTGCTAATATGGGTATTTTCAGATCGACCAACTCAAGCACCGATTGAACAAGATGGAGGAGGAATGTAAGCTGGAAAGAAACCAGTCCCTGAAGCTCAAGAATGACATTGAGAACCGGCCCAAGAAGGAGCAGGTGCTGGAGCTGGAGCGGGAGAATGAGATGCTAAAGACCAAGATCCAGGAGCTGCAGTCCATCATCCAGGTGAAAAGCACCATCATTAAGTGGTGGGGGCTGGGCAGAGCGGGTGTACCTGCTGGCAGACGAGCACCAGCATAGTGGCCACAGGGCCACGGATAATGCGCATCAGCTTTAGCCCTGCACAACCTCCCACTGTAAAGTAGACATGACTACAGACCCTCTTGGCAGAGGCTGACATATGAAAGAGTCTTTTTTTTTTTTTTTTCCCCAGCCAGGCCTAGTCATCCCAGCTACTTGGAAGGCTGAGGCTAGAAGATTGCAAGATTGAGGCTTCCCTAGGATGACAGAGTGTGTTCAGAGGCAACTAGGGCAAATCAATGAGATAGTCTCTAAAATCTTGAAAGTTTAAAGAGGGGTGATGATATAGCTCAGTGGTAGAGCACCTGCTTAGAATCTCCCAGTGAGGGGCTGGGGTGTGGCTCAGTGGTAGAGCCCCTGCCTAGAATCCCCCAGTGAGG